GACCCACCCCGGGGCGGGGGGGGGGGGCGGTATTTGGGGAAGAAACACGGGGCCTTCGCTTAGCAACGCTGTTTTTATGATGGCAGGGCGTAGGGCTGCGGGCAAGATAAGCGCAACCTGCAGTGGGAACTCATTCCATCGACAGCGGCAAAAAAACCAACCCCCAAACATCCATTTTTCTTTGGAAACGAACTGAACGAAACACGGGGGTTGTGACGCGCTGGCGAGAAGTTACTGGTTCAAGTTCTGGCTGAATATCCACGTGTGTTTTTTAGATCATGTAGATGCTTTTTAGCCTCTTCATCCCCCCTTCCCGCCCCCATATCTTCCCGTACCCAGCAGCGCTTGGTGGTATTCTCACAACTTACGCAATACACTTGTTTCCTAATTCAGTCGCTAAGCGTGCCGGAAAAAAACCTGCACGCTGATAAGCCAGCTTTTTTCCTTAACTGTTTATTTAAAGAAATGGATGTTCCGTATTACAAAAAAACGCAAACCAAAAAACAAACCAGGCTTACTTACAAAACCATGAGGTTCTTCTTCAAATCAATTTTCTCAATCAACAGAGAAAAGCGGAGGGGAGATCATTTTCTGGGCAAAGCTCAGAAGAAAGGCTGCTTTTATCCGTGGCGAGACTAGCTGCTCTCTCCACTTCTCATAAAGCAGTTGAATACATTGTACAAGGGGCTGAAGTGATAAATAACTTCCAGATGACCGAGAAGAATCAAGACTGACGTGGGGTGCACACGTCCCAGCATGGCCCGGCGTTCCGGCGGCCAACAGCCCCCAAAACGGAGGGGGTTAATGGGGAAAAGGGTAAAATTCCATTGCAAAAAGGGTATCTTGCAGAACCGACAGAATGAAAAAAGGCCCCCTCACCGGTTGTTTGGGATTTTTCGCTTTTTACTCTGTCGGGAAAACCTGCACCCTTCCCAGCAGCGCCTTCCAGAGCCCTCCGCTAGCCCGAACATACTAACGCAAAACTGAAACAGCCTTGAACAGCCCAGAAGGAAATCAGCAAAACACTGGTTCTCAAAACAAAGCTTTTGCATGGATTAGGTGCTTTCTAGCATGGAGTTCTTCCCCCCTAGTATTCCTGGCTAAACCACTGCTTATCTTGGACACTGGGTACGACGGCGATTCTCCTGTTGGGAACAGAATACACATACACATACATTTCCTCAGAAGAATCTGTTACAGCTCAGAGACACAACCAAATAATAAAAGAGGGGAAGAAAATGGCAGGAGTACGTAGAAATACAACTTCTAGATACTGGTAAGGAAACATCTGCACTCCACATGTTTTTACAGTCATAAAAATATCAGGCATCCATGTCAGGAACCCCCTGCCAAATATAAGACGACGTTGCAACAACACAATAACCATTGGTAAACTCACTCAGTGTTTTGTAAGATCGGTTTGCTCTCACCTATAACTTTTGTCAACATTAGCCATTCACATCGGAGCCATTTGTTTCCCATACGTACGATGTGGGCGACGCCTCTTCAATCTGGCCGGGAAGCGATGCCCGTGAATGTTTTAGCCCGTCTAAGGCGGATCTTGTAAGCCTCACGGTAACGGGAGGAGGAAATTAAACTTTTCCTGAGACTGAAATAGTACAGCAGGAGCAAGGCTGGAGTAAACAGTAAGGGTAAAGTGAAACGTGGAGTATGGCGAACACTGAAGGCAGGTTTCTGGTTAAAGGAACCAACCAACCCGCCGATTCTTCTGTGAAGACTATGTCGTAAGGGATGGGTGAAAGAGGTGCCAGGCGAGTTCCAACTTGTGAGCGCTTGACTTTGGAGACACAACGTTCTGCATGGGGAGGAGGAGATCAGCAGAGTATCTATACGTAAGGCAGGGGCTGGGGGTCGATTGCGGAGCACCTCGCTCAACCCTGTAATTAATTCCTACCCGGGCTTCTGAGACCTTAAACGGAGAAGCAGCGAGAGGGACGCCCGGGGCCAGAGGCGGTGGAGCCGCCACCAGAAATGTACGTTGGCTGGCGTTAGCACTGGCTAATTGAGGTTAAAACTCTAGAGCGGCCGGAGCAGCCGCCTCGCAGGGTCACAAGCGCAGGCCTCCACGGACGGCACCCAGCCGACGCCTCCGCGTCCGGCCGCGGGGCCGACTGGCGGCCCCCCCCCCGCCGCC